TAATATAATATTCCCTATATTTAATCTAATATTTAAAAATATTTAATATATTATATATATTATATATATATATAATGTTTAATGCAATATTTAATATATTTCAGTATATTTACTACAATATTTAATATAATATTTCAACATATCTAATATAATATATAATTGTTATACTATTTAATATAATATTAATGTAATATTTAATATCATATTTCAGTATAGTTACTATATCTCAATATAATCTTTAATATAATATTATACATAATATTAAATATAATATTTAATATAATATAATAATAATATGATTAAAGTGGAAACTGAGCAATTAACAAAATTATGTGTAATTTGTTGAAAATTTATTTAAAGAAAATCTTTTCTATTTTTATTTTTAAAACAGTTAATTTGTAATCAATGGCTAGTGGATTTACGTTGATGACAAGTTAAATAGTTTCTTTCAAAAGCAAAATACTCACATCAGTTTCTTCTGTTGCTGCTGTTGTTTCTTCATTGACTTCAGCAGGGTTAGTGTCCTCTACAACAGCCTCGGGCATGGGTACTTCCTCAATTTTGTCCTCCTCCACAACGGCTTCTGGTAGAGGTTCTGGTTCTGGGAGAGCAGCCGGCTCTTCGATGATTTCCTCTTCCAGTGCCTGCACTTCTTGTTCCAGTTCCACATCCGGATCCGGTTCAGGTTCCTTGACTGGTTCCTGTTCCGGCGCTGGCTCAGGTTCCTGAACTGGTACCGGCTCTGGTTCCACAACTGGTTCCGGTTCTGGTTCAGGTTCTTTAACTGGTTCTGGTTCCGGCTCTGGTTCTTTAACAGGTTCCGGCTCCGGCTCTTTAACTGGTTCCGGCTCCGGTTCTTTGACTGGTTCCGGCTCCGGTTCTTTGACAGGTTCCGGTTCTGGCTCTTTGACTGGTTCTGGCTCAGGCTCCTTGACAGGTTCCGGCTCCGGTTCCTTTACTGGTTCCGGCTCCGGTTCCTTTACTGGTTCCGGTTCCTTGGCCGGTTCTGGTTCCGGTTCTGGGGCAGCAGGGGCTGGCTCTTTTGCTGGTTCCTGCTTCGGCTCTGGTTCAGCTTTTGTAGCCGATTCTACAGGTTCTTCCACTTTGGCTTGAACCTCTTCCTGGACGGGGGCCTCACTTGGAGCATCTTGTTTTGCTTCCTCTTTTTTCGGAGCTTCTGTCGTAGCATCCTCTTTTGCATCTTCTGACGGCTTTTCCGAATCAGCATCTTTAGTTTCAGAATCTTTAGCTTCGGCGTCTTTAGCTTCAGCTGGAGCTGCTTCAGCCGGAGTCTCTTCCTAAAGCCAGAACGAAAGACATGAAAAGAGAAAGAAAAATACGGATAATTCAAAGATAATTTAATGTAAACAATTATAAAAAAAAGAAAGAAAAAAAGCTGTTTAGGCAAAGGAAGTAATATTTTTTTGTAGATTAACGAAAATAGTAAAGACGTGATTAGGCAAAGTAATATGCACTCTTTGTCATTTGCCAAGAAATCATTATATTTGTTATGTATCGGTTAACCTTTGTCTAAACAGTTGTGGGCAAGTATTTCGTGGAAGGCGGGTAACATTATCGGACTTGTGTCAAGTGTATTGCATCATAATAACAAATCTAGTTTTACAACCACAATATAAATACGAATCATACATGTGTAATGAATAAAAAAACCGCCAAATATCAACTTGAGAAGATTTTATTCTGATAAACAGATCGTTAGTAGTTAAACGGCGTATTATACAAAGTGGTTTGTATTGAAATGGCTAGGATGAGATAGTTCTTTATTGTCACAGCATGCGAATGTTATTTGTACATTTATTTGCTTATTAGACACATTTTGTGAACAGGCTGCACAGATGCACAGTCTCATATTTAATACATTTATTTCTATGAATATAGATATAGGGATATAGAAGGCGCTTATCTCCCTTCACAAGACGGCTGCTTCGTGACGTCACCCCATACAGTGACCAAAGCAGCAGTCATTATTCAGTTCGGAAACAGCAATCAAACGAGAAGGTTGCTTTCTGCTATCCTGAGGCATAGAGCCAAGGCTGGGGACAAATCTGCCTCCCAAGCAACTTCCAAATATATGGAGCCGTTTTCCTTTGCGACATAGATGAATCCGGTCCGTTTAAATCTGGAGTCCTAAAAATGGCATCTCCACGTCAGAAATTTATATTTATTACTGTATATAATATACAATAATTTTGGCACATGGCCGAAAGAGAAAAAGGGGAGAGGCTGGTCTTCGCTAACTATCCTATTCCTAGTTAATCACGATCATGACCCATTCATCCAATACAATTGCTCCATTTACCACAAGAACTCATTCGGCACCATTCAATGCTACATATACCAAAATACCACATACTCACATATACCAAAATACCACATACTCACCAAGGGAACCTACAAAAACACCGCATGATATAAAAATTTTAAATTCCTAAATACAAAAGCATGAAATGAGTGGGGAAGGAAATGACCCTGAAAACAAACTAAAATGGGAACAAAAATAAAAGAAATTATATGTAAGATATTTACTTTTTTGTTCCACCTTATACTTAACTTTGCCATGTAGATATATGTGATATATAGTTCTCCACGTAGGACACGTGTATATATATATATATATATATATATATATATATATATATATATATATATATATATATATATATATATGTGTGTGTGTGTGTGTGTGTGTGTGTGTTCTTCTGAACTCGCTCTAATTTTACAGGATTGCTAACCATCAGCCTTTCCTTCTGTTCCTCCTTATACTTTTCTATGTAGATATATGTGATATATAGTTCTCCACGTGGGACACGTATATAAGAAATCATGGCAATTCGCAGACAATGGTGAGAAGGTATTTATGGAGAAGGCAATGGAAAACCTCTCCACTCAAGAAGTCAAGGCAATTCTGAAATATTAAAGAAAAGGAATATGTGGAGAAGGCAACGGAAGACCACAACTATGTTTCCCAAGAATTCATAGCAATGCACAGATAATAAAGAAAATGAATCTCTGGAGAAGGCAACGCCAAACCATTCCACTATATTTTCCAAAAAGTCATAGCAATTCACAGATAATAGTGAAAATCAATCTGTGGAGAAGGCAATGGAAAGCCTTTCCACTCTGTTTCTCAAGAAGTCTTAGCGATTCATAGATAATAAGGTAAAGGAATATGGGGATAAAATAACGGAAGAGTACTTCACTTTCTTTCCCAAGAATTCATAGCAATTCACAGATAATAACGAAAATGAATCTCTGGTGAAGGCAACGGGAAACTACTCCACTATCTTTCTCAATATCTCATGGCAATTCTCGAATAAGAAAAAGTATATTGAGTGTCATGATCGCTTACGCCAGGGGTCGGCAACGCATTCGACCCCGCGGGCCGGATCGTGTTATAATGACGGGTCACGGGCCGGACGAATGCCATTAATGAAAACTTAAGGAAAATTACATATGCAGACCCCAGTCAGCCTAAATATTTAAAACCATAATGAAAATAAACATTGAGAAATCAGAAAAACAAAAGAAAATCTAAAATTAAAAAAACACCTAACAAAAATTACTTTTCCTCAAGGAACGTCAAAATACTTCAAAGTGAAAAAAATCAACCAAAGTGAAATGGATGAAATTATGACGTGTAGGTTTGAAACTGTTATTGAAAATTGTTCCACAAACGAACCACACACACACACATCAAACAAAAACTAAACACGTATACCCATACATACGAGTACAAATAGTTGCAAACATATACACTTACGTACGTACACATGCGGTATCATCCACACATTCATGAGGCATGTATGTATAATGCGCGTATGTTTAACTGTCTTTAGATTTCTGCTACCTTGCATGTCAGTCCCTCCTTGGCCTCTTTCACTTTATCGTTCCTTTCGCTTCTGTTATCTTTTAATGTAGTCAAAGGTCATAACAAATATGTATCCATTATTTGACATTAAACAGAGGCAACGCAACTTGGTAAAATAAGTCTCATGAAAGATAACTGGCAGATAGTCTAATTCGAAAGCCTCGTTTCTCATGTTAAAAATAGAGTCATTGGTAATCAGGCTCGCGGGCCGGTCAAAATGCCTTCGCGGGCCGGATCCGGCCCGCAGGCCGTAGGTTGCCAACTCTTAGCTTACGCCCTTTAAAAACCTTGCATTGAACTCAATATTATGGATTTGGGTGCCTGGAGCAGTTATAAAAAGATTATTCTCACATTATATCGGAGACAAGCAGTGCTAGAATCTGTTGTAAAGAAAGCATAAGAACTGACCTTTTTATCTTTTCCGGTGTCCTCTTTGTCACTTTCTTTCCGCTTCTGTTTGCTGGATTTTCCTCCCATTCTCACTGCCAAAAAAAAAAAAAAAAAAAATCAGAGAAAGACAATCAGAATAAAATATCAACCATTACAAAATTCATTTTTGTTACTCAAACAAACAAAAAAGAAGTCGATCTACAATCAATTTTAAACACTTTCTCTTTTCATAAATCGAAGTTCAAATTCATTGCAGTCACAATGAAATAGTTCCTTTCTGGTCACACTTCTTGTTGTGGTCAAGTTATTTTCCGCTCTGCAGCCTCTTTCCCAACAGTCGCAAAGTTTCCATGCCTATTGTTACTCTATTGCTCTTACCCTGTTCAGATGAGCTCTGTTCTTTGGCTTGTAGATGGAATAGAAAGTATTTTCATTTTATACCTCCCGCTACATTTATCTCGCAAACAATATTTGGCGGATATATTAGCTGCCTCATTAATGAATGAATTATTTTGATAATGCCACTATGACGACAGGAGGAAAACATATAAGTACCAACCCGAGCGGGGAAAAGGAAGAGAGATAATTTCTTTATCCTCGTGAGAAGAAGAATATAGAATTTTGTTCTAGCTTTTTAGTTGAAGTGTTTCTCATGTTTTATACCAAAAAAATTTAATCTAAAAATATGTTTTTATAGACACGGGGGGTGCGAACATACGCAATGAACGGGCCCCGAAATTCTATTAGCCAAGGGACCTATTAAGGTCTAAATACAACCCTGATCAAGATGGATATCAAGTCTAGAATTGATGGATGGATTCTTTTGCTGGTTGATGTAACATGTTTGGGTAAAAGCAATACAAACTAGTGCTAGGATATAGTCAATACAGGAGCTCGGCGCTACTTATTCGCCACTTTTTCAATCTTTTTGGGTACCTGGTGTACTAGTGAGCCAGCCAAAATGACTCATTTTATAGTTCACCAATAGAAGGTTTAACCAATCAGAAGGCTCAAAATATTCAATGCGACGTGTATAAAGGCGGCCATGTTTTTCCTGAATATGCACTACCAGCTTTTGATATCGAAGACTGAAGAATTACGGAACAGCTAGTGGTGGTATTGGCGATATAGTCAGATTCAGTAAAATATCTGACTCGAGAGTATTAATCTTTAACGTTGTTTCATTGAACAGATTACGTACTGCGCTGTATTCTATATTCATAGACTATGGTGAACATGGTCACCATTGATAGAGCTCAAAATCGTTTATACCTTCTTGTGGAGACTGAGTTATTTTCCACTATGCAGCCTCTTTCCCCGCAGTCGCAACGTTTGCAAGTTTTGTAATGACCGTTTATAGGAGAGATACATGAATAGTAACGCCTTCGAACAATAATCGATCGAACGCAGCTAATTCCCATATATACATTTACCCGTCAAGTGATCTAATTATTTCAAGATGGGGTCGACTGTGCTTGTTCTCTGGCAATCCGTGTTCGAACCCAATTGTCGGCAGTGCTAATTTATTCCTATATGATAGCAAGCCTATTGCTAGTCTATCGCTCTTTTCCCGTTCAGATGTGCTCTATTCTTTTGTTTGTGGCGGAAATGGAAAGTATTATCATTTCATGCTTCCTGGTATATTTGTTCTGCAAACAAATTTTAGCCGACTCTTGTGAATCCGGGATAAAAAGAAAAAACGACATAAAAATATATGCAATTCAATCAAACAACAATTAATAAATATATTAAAACATGTTACTGAAAGATAAAGAAAGAAACGACGTTGATATCATGAACAGTTCAATACAATCTTTTGTCTGTATCTCATTTTCTTCGTATTGTAAGGAGGAAGTTCCACTCAGACAGGGTTTTCGTAAGAACAGTAATTTTGTGTAACAAACTCCCACGTGGGTGCTTCTCTGCGCAACACAAATTTCAAGCCGAAGGTTAATTGTTCCATATCCTCCTCCCCATAATATTCACTTCCTACCACCTCCTCTTGCACATTTTATTTAGTAACCGTCTACTCTGAGTGTGACTCCAGCATTGTGTTTGGTAAGCAGTATGAAAAGAAAAGAACCGGTTCTAACTCCTCTTGTTTTTTTACATCGTTGTAAAACGAAATAAATACATTTTTAAAGTGATCGGATAAAGGCATTAGATAAGGGTAAACTGAGAAAAACAACACTTAAGATATAAAGTGAAGCCAAGGAATATTGGAAAAAAATATTTGTTAAACATTTTAAAGTTGCAATCAATAGCAGTTAGCTCTTTCTATTCACTCTCTCTCTCTCTCTTTTGAAATGAATAAAGAGAGAGAGAGAGAGAAAGGGAGTGTGAAAAGGGGGGGGGAGAGAGAGAAATAGATAGAGATAACTCCTATTGATCGCAAATTTAAAATGTTTAACAAATATCTCTCTGCCAAAAAAAACAAAAAAAACAAAGAAAATAAAAATAAGATACCAACCATTACAAAATTCAAAAAAGAAAAGTCGATCAACAATCAATTCTAAACTCTTTCTCTTTCCATAAATCGAAGTTACATTCAAATTCATTGCAATCACAATGAAATAGATCCCACCTGGCCACCCTACTATGATGACCTTGTGTCAGACTTTAGAAAATAACTAGAATTAAAGTTGAATTGATACAAAATACGTAATCTATACAAAAATAGCAAAATTACAAGCATAGCGAATATCATTTTAAGTCAGTGATGAATTGACTTTATCTAAATTTTGATCTTCTTTATGTGCCAGGTCCCCTCGGGACATAGGCGATCATGGCTCTCCACAATTTCCTGTCCTTTGTAGCTCTTAATAAATTTTGTCTTTTTGTTATCGCCCCTAATTCTTGCTCCGCCATCCATTTAATCAAGCTCCCTATTTAAGTTATGTGCTGTATTCCTCTGCCCATCTTGCCTTCAGTCTGTCCTGTGAGTATCAGATTTTCCAAGCCCTCTTACCTCATTAAATACCCTAGAAATTTCAGCTGTCTCTAACTGATGTTAAGTATAAGTTTACTTTTCGTTTCTATTTTCTCTAAAGACTTCGTTGGCGCTCACGTGATCGGTCCATGGTATGCTCAGCATCCTTCTGTAGGACTACATTTCTATTGCTTCAAGTCTCTTCTTCATCTTTGAGGAGATTATTCCGTATTCGCTACCATATGGCAGGACATATAACAAATAGCAGTAAAGTACTAATGAAGTAAAACCGAAAACCTCGTGAACACGGATATCACGGTTACGGCATTAGAGAGTTCAAAAGCTGGTTGTCCGAGGCTTCCACTCCCAGATTTCTTTTGACATGCCTGTGGTTTCCGTCACATTTTAAAGTTGCGATCGATAGCTCTTTCTCTTTCTCTCGCTCTTTTTCAGAAATATGAAGAGAGAGAGAAAGACACACACACACAGAAAGAGAGAGAGAAAGAGAAAGAGAGAGAGAGAGACTTAAAAAAATGTCAGCAAACATTGACAACTGAAAACAACGAAAAAAAAAAAAAAAACTGATCCTTAATTCGATAGCAAAATGTGATTGGCTTACTTGTTGAATTGATTTCCAACCGAAAGTATTTGAAAGCAAAAAATGAATTAAAATGAATTAAAATGAAAACAACACACACAAGTTTATAATTTTTCAAACAGAAAAATATTTGCAAACTAAGGCAGCTTTAAAGTCTACTTTTTTTTTTTCCACTTTCGCTTATGGAACAATAATTGCTAAAATAAAACCGCCTAATCGGATTAATTTCTAAACTCCTCCAACAATACGAATTTCTCTGCGAGTCTCATGTGTACCAACATGACTGTGTAATGTTAACATAGTATAGACGAATAAAAAATCGAGACTAAATCTCTCATATATAAAATTATTTTTAATTCAACTGCGGCGACTGGGTGTGTGGCTATGGAGGTTTTCAGGAAAGTGAATTCTTCTCAAAGGGACGTGAGATATTCTTTCTCTCTCTCTCTCTCTCTCTCTCTCTCTCTCTCTCTCTCTCTCTCTCTCTCTTTTGATCTGGCAGAAATGCTTCTCTTTCTGACTCTTTCTTTCTTTCCACCCTTTTATCGTTCTTTTACATCTATCTATCTATCTATCTATCTATCTATCTATCTATCTATCTATCTATCTATCTATCTATCTCAAGCAGCATATCTATCTATCTATCTATCTATCTATCTATCGTGAGGCACTTATATATCTTCCCATCATACGGTTGTCCCACGAGTGCACATCCAAAGCGAAGCTGGGTCAGCCATGACTGGGGCAACTACTGACATAATGTGAAGTGAGATGCCCCAGGTGGTAAGGAGTTTATTTTCCCGGTCAACCCGATGATGCACTTGTCTTTTCTGGTGCTCTTGTGTGGCACTGAGCGCAATATCTATTCTGATATCATCTGATATAATATTGGGGTCACCACAGATCAACTCCTCGCAGCCCAAAAATGCCTTATTGACATTAAATGGCGTGATCATATAGTACGGCAGTCTCGAGTCAGTCTAATTCCCTTTTGGTGATTATGTCTAACTGAAAATTGATTTTTAAAAAGAAGCTGAGAGGAGGCCACTGATCAAAGAGTAAGTTAGACTTGTATACCAAATAACTTAGCTTCCCTGTGCCTTTTCTACAAATATTCAGTGTGGTAGAACCTATCAGGATCCCAACTAATCTCCAAACTGAGGCCAATACACTATGAAATTGGAAAAAATATTACTAGTAATATATTTTTGGAAAAAATATTACCAGCAATACATTTGACTCTCGACAAAAACCCTCTTTACAAAAACACGTCAATGAAACATTATCTATAAACTGATTTCTTACAAAGAATACATATTCTATTCATGCGAATATATAGTAAAAAACTTGTCAGCATTAAATAGCTCATTGAGGTTGATATGCCTTAAAACAAAACAAACTAAACCTATAAATATTTTCATGGTAATTGATGTGCTTTCCTCTTTGGGACCTCAACTTTACGAATTTAAGCTCTGTACTAGATTGGCAGCTAGGTCTCATCTATCTATCTATCTATCTATCTATCTATCTATCTATCTATCTATCTATCTATCACAGTCTGTTCATATCTATCTATCGATTAAAGTCTGTTTATATCTATCTATCTATCACAATCTGTTCATATCTATCTATCGATTAAAGTCTGTTTATATCTATCTATCTATCTATCTATCTATCTATCTATCTATCTATCTATCTATCGTAGACGCTCCATTTAATTAATAAACTCTATATTTATTTATTTTCGTCTACCGGAGAGCGCATATTTTTCTCTAATAAAATTTATACCCAAATACGAGTATCCACTAAAAATAACGTTTTATATATATATATATATATATATATATATATATATATATATATATATATATATATATATATATATATGTATTAAATGTTATTTTCATTAGTTACAATTTTCAATAAAATCGTTTAGTAAACTCATTGTTAGCTAGCTGAAGAAACGTTTGATTTTAACGTTGAAACGAAATGTACAATTTTGTAGTGGATATTTACATCTTCTCATGTAACAGTGTATAATAAATATTTATTGGTTTACTTTTGTATTGATCGCTGTTTGAAATTAATGTTTTGAACGTTGATATTTTATTCTTCGTTCTTTTTATTTATATATATATATATATATATATATATATATATATATATATATATATATATATATATATATAATGCTCTCTCAGCGCATTTGAAACACCGTCGTTTGAAAATGAATTTCTGCAATGTGTCAAATAGCCACGACTCCCACCAGTTTGATGAAAAACTGCAATAAAACAAACAAACAAACAAACAAAAAAAAAACATAAAAGAAAATGCAAAAAGAAAAGTTTCTATTATTAAAATAAGACACTCCACCTTCGTCTGGGAATGTTGCGCATGTCGCTAATGCGGATTAAGTTTTCAAGCGATCAGAAGCGATGACACAGGCATACTTGCATCTTGCATCCCCCCCCCCACCGCACTTCGGGCGATTTAAGGCGGGGCCCAATACACTGTGAGCCGCGTCCTTTTACACATGCTCTGATCCCGCCGTACGAACCTTAACTTGGCTGCTCGCACTTTCACTAGTTTTTCCCACACACTTCAAACCATTTTTTTGGTTTGTTTGCAGGGAGAAAATGAAACAAATGCACAAATAAAATGATGCGAAAAAAACTGTAATAAACAAAATAGATAAAGCAAAAGAAAGAAAAGGCATATAAGCAATATATATATATATATATATATATATATATGTATATATATATAACTATGAACCTAAAGAGCCAAACAAACCTACCTAGGTTTCGCCTACGCGGATCGTCAGGTACGCTGGCTAGCGTACCCAGACTAACCGCATAGGTGAAACCTAGGTAGGTTTGCCTGGATCTTTAGGTTCATAGTTAGATTTGCTCTACTTAGTGTATTGAGCACTTTGCTTAGTTATTTTTACTTTACTCGTTTTGAAGGTTTTTTTTTCTTTGAACTCTGAGCTTGGGTTCTGGTCGATTGTTTTCGCCTGAATTACATGTTCTTAGTTCTTTCTTTTTTTATTCCTTATTTTTCCTTGGGTATTGGTTTGTTCATTTACAAGCGAAAACACCCAAGATTTTTCCAGACGAGTATAATTACTTATATTTATAAGATTATATATATATATATGGAGGCACAGCGGAGTAGTGGATAGTGGCTTGGATTGAGGAATCGCAGAGCCGAGTTCGAATTCCAGTCGAATCCATTACATTCACTTACGTGCTAATACCCTTGCGAAAGGTATGAATCATCTTCTTCTCACTCCAGTTATGGGTAAATAGCAGGACAGACTTGGATGGCAACTCTGAATTCAAAACCTGCGGAGGGTCGTTTGTGTACCTTGTAGCAGGTAGTGCACCAGGCCCTTCAAAAAGTGTGAATGGTTCTGCACAAAACCTTCACCACTATAATCAAATCTCATGTGCTGATGTCAGGAAGTCGGTTCCTAGAAACTGATCTGCTTAACACTCATACGTCGAATTCGATGGAGAATATATATATATATATATATATATATATATATATATATATATATATATATATATATATATATATATATATAATTATTTATTTAAAAATATGATTCCAACATACATATGTTCTCATGTTTCAAAACATGAGAACTCTTATGTAACGTTGGAATCATATTTTTAAATAAATAATTATATTTATGCTCTACTTTTGTATCGAGCACTGTTTTTTTTTTTAAATAATAACAAAAATGGTAAAGAACTTTGGATTATTTACCTTTTCTAATATCAGTTTGTTTCAATATATTTTTTATTTGCAAATTGTACTATCCGTGTTCGTTTTCACACCATTCGTGTACAGGTATTAAAATAATACATAATATATATATATATATGTTGCAATTTGATGAAAATCTTTAAAAGATTGTTTCAAAATTCTATAAATTGATTATTGAAATCGTTTATTGCATATATATATATATATAAGTATAAATAAATATAAAAGTGAACATAGATTGTCAACACTTAGAGTCGACAGTCTGTTTCATGATAGATGCAATCGTCCCTCACTCGTGGCCTGACGATTGCATCTAGCATGAAACAGACTGTCGACTCTAAGTGTTTGACTTTCAATGTTCACTTTTATATTTTACGCTCTATCTCTGATATTGAGCACTTTATCCTATAAATATAGCACATCTTATGACTATATTTCTTTTATATATATATATATATATATATATATATATATATATATATATATATATATATATAAATGTATGTATAAAGACAAAAGGAAAACTTTTTCTTTACCAACACGTCTTGTATTCCAGAAGACTTTATCATGGTAAAAGGAATGATTTGTCTTTATAATCAGAAGTAAAGTGGGGGAAAATTATCGTTTTAATTTTTTTAATTTCAGAACGTACGAAAATAATCTAGAAACTGACTGTGTAAATAAAGGTAAACTATGGAGGATTCTAAGTGTTTTAATTTAACGCCTAATAAACGAAAGTAAGTAAATGTTGTTATTATTATTGGTTAATGCTTATTTTCATATATATATTAAAGACATTTTTATGTTTAACGTTCTTTTTTATAGATACAAGTATTTAAGTAAATGCTCTGTTTATAATAAACAGTATTAAATAGCATTTACCGGCCTGAATGTCCGAGAAATTTTCATAGAAAATATTCGTCCTTTGACAGGATTCGAACCTGCATCCTATACGAAACCGTCATTTACGCTGACGTGCCTTACCCTCTCGGCCACAAAGGGTCGAATTTACTGCTTATAAACTTGCCTACCGAACGCTCATTTGTGGCCGAGACGTCCAAGATTGAAACCACGCTCCAAATTTTAAGTTTAATTTTGAAATTGAAATTTAGAACTTGAGTTTTGGTTTCGAAATATGCGATGGAGACATATTTTTTAAAAAATAATTATAATATTCTTCTCTACATTGTATCGAGCATTGTTTGTTTTTTTTTAAATAAAATAAAAATACTAAAGAACTTTGTATTATAAATCTGACTTTTCTTTCCTATTACTTGGATACACACACGCATATATATATATATTTAATTTGTAATGCAATTATTATTTATTATTTTATTTTAATTTGATAAATTATTTATTAATATTTATTCATTTTAATTAATAGAAGGTCTTCAGTGATTTTCTTAATTTTTAAAGTTGTTATGCTCATGTATGTAGCACTGGGAAAATAGTATTTCTTTTATGAAAAAAATGAAGGGTGTAAGTTAACATTTTGGCAAGAACCGATAGTTGCACTCTCAAGCACATTCTGCCTAAGTAACTTATTTTCTATTTTAATAAAAGTAGCGTTCTTGTGATCGAGGTTGTTTTTGAACTCATATATATATATATATATATATATATATATATATATATATATATATACAAAATATACTTGAGAGAGATATGAAATTAATCCCTCCTATACTCTACCATGTCTCTTTAACATTGGGATGCGCCAAATTATATATACATAGACATTTACAACACAGATGAGAACAAAAGTTGCAAAAACATTTTACACTCTCTGTTAAATTACAAAAACTTACACTACCTATCAATTTTAATTTCATTTTTCGTTTCATTTCATTTTTGGAAGTGCTATCTGATGATCCGGCGTCCTTTAAAAGAACTCTGGTGAAATAAATTATTATAATGGTACCTTAAAGTGGTCTGTTTTTCTTTAATATATATATATATATATATATATGAATATATTAAGGTTTGTTACAGCTGAAATAGAAAAATTGACCAATATATAGCCCAGCATAATAGCGTATCACTTAACAGATACGTAAGCAACACTAATAATAACAGTAGCTATGATGATCAAAAATGCAATTGCCGTAAATGTTCCGTTTGTCCTATGAATGTTAAATGCATGGAGTTATATATAAGGTTTGCAACAGGTATAACGACCAAATTAAATTTCATTTAGGGTCAACTGCAAATAATTGAAAAAAAAAAAGTTTTTGCCATCACAAAATAACCTTAAACAAAAAAAAAAAAAAAAAATAAATAATGCGCAAATGCTACAGCACTCTCTAAGTGCTACTGGGGTATCAAAAGTAGCTACGCACCTCGCTAAAATCAATCCATTCTCTGGCAAGGAGGAACGAAGCAACTTATGCTTACTAGAAAAAAATACATCCTCAAAAATATTGATAATTTAAATCTACTTAATAAGCGAAATGATCTTATGTCTAGTTATACGCAGAGAAAAATGCTTCTTCTAAAACATTGTAATCCTGGTGAAATTCCTTTTCGGCTTAATTTACTTTAGGGTTCACACTTCACCTTTAACCCTACAAACATTCACTCATTGTGCTAACGAAATGCGTCTCACGTTCAAATTTTAAATTTCAGACGTGCTACAATTTTCCACTTCTTTTTTCTTTTTTTTTCCCTAATGACTCATAACTGCATCCCATTTTCTGCACCTAAATCCCAGCTTTGTACTATTTTCGCACCATCTTAATTTTGAACTATGCGTCAGCATTCCTACCATAATCCCCATAATCCCCTGCATATTAAAAAAAAAAACCCAAAAAACAATAAGGTCTATCTTGTGCCCGACGAGTTGGGTAACCAACGAAACTGAAGTCGCACACAAAACGTAGGTATATGTATATTTATTAATCATACTTATTATAAACCCCAGGTTGTGTGTGTATGTGTCTGTA